CTGACGCGGCTGCGCGTGCCGGAGGCGTCGAGAAAAGGATGCCGCCGGTGCTGAGCCAGCCGGAGGAGCCGACCTGCGTCTGGGTGCACGTGCTTTACAATGGGGAGGGCGAGCTGCGGCACCAGAGGCGACGCGTCGCGAGCTCAAGGGTGTCTTGGGCGACTAACTACATCCTCACCCAAGATGGGGATTGCTACCCGGAGAAGTACGACCTGGAGGACCAGAACATCTCGGCGGTGCGTTGCGCCGAAGCTCGCTGGCCGCCTCCGCCTGGGCTCGCCAGCGAGGCAATGTGTACAGGTTTCGGGCCGCGCCGAGTCAGCAGGAGCTGGACGACGCGGCTGACCACGCGGAGGCACTGGAGAGGGTGGACCATCGCGCGCGCGAGGTCGCAGCTGGGCGAGACCCTGCGGTGGTGCCGCCTGGAGGCTACATCGAGCGACTGCCCCATGCCGCCGCCGCCGGCCGCGGCGCCGGCTCCTCCCCCGGGAATCGCAGCGGGTGCTGGTCTCGCCGCCGGAGGTGGAGGCGTGGCCGCTGCGGCCGGAGGACCTCGGCGCGTGGGAGTGCCGGCAGGAGGCGGAGGAGCAGGAGTCGCTGGAGACGGTGAAGCTCGAGGAGGCGCTGATCTGGGTGGTGCTGGAGACGAACGAGCACTACCGCCGAGGAGAGGAGGTGCCGTTGCCCGCCGGCGCCACGGTCGGCGGAGGAAGCACTCTCGCTGCGCTTGCTGACGGCTCGGCGCTGCGCCTGCGCCGGCTGAAGCGCTGCGAGGTGCGAGGCTGGGTGGGCGCCGAGGCGGCAGGCGACGCGAGGATCCTGGGCGTGGAGATCGGTGAAGCAGGACGGCAGCGGACCCAGTGGCGGGACATCGTGGCGAAGTCTAGTGTGATTGGCCTGTGGTGGGCCCACGGACGGCCGAGTGGTGCATGCTGTTCTTGAATCGGCGCGGAGGCGGCCCGATGGATCACCACAGGTACTTCCTCATGGTGCACGGCCTCGAGACGGGCGACTGGGGCGTGGAGACCCATCGCATGCGCCTTACGGCGGTGGAGGAGGCTGGCAGCTACGACCACCTGGAGCTGTGCAACCTCGCGAGCTTCGAAGTGCTGTTCCGCCAGGCGCAGCTGGTGGAGTACGTGTACGAGCAGGAGCGGGTCGCGATCTGACGACGGGCGGCAAGGGCAGTCAGGGCGCCGGCAAGGGCGGCGGCGTGCTCGACGAGTCGCAGGTGTTCGCCGGTCAGCACCTGGACGCCGGCGGCGTCATGCTGGCGCCCGGGTTGATGGACTTCGTGGCGCGCGAGGTGGAGAGGGACGCGAACATCGTGAAGCAGGTGGAGAAGGCGCGGGAAGAGCGCCGAGCCCTCACCACCAACAAGAAGAAGGATGGGGAGTGACGGGGGGGGGCCCCCCCCATTGCTCCGGCCGCGAGTTGGGCCCGCTGGCGGCAGGGGCGGAGGTCAGCCTCTACAGTTTTGCAGTTGTGCAGTCCGCCGGCGGGGATTTCGGAGACGTCGCCGTGAGGATGGAGTTGTTGGAACCATCGCCACCCTCATCGAGCTGCGCGGGGCCTCTGAGGACCTTGGCAGCCGTAATTTGCTGCCCGGCGCGGCGCAGTTGGCCTGCCTGGGCCGGATCGAGCTTGCCCACCGCGAGCTTGGCCCGCCACCTGCAGACTTGTATGGGCAGGGGGCCCTGGAGGAGCTGCTGTCGAAGCAGAGCTACGGCGGTGCCGCTGGAGCTGTTGTCCCCCTCGAGGTGGAGCGGGTAGCCTTGCCCAGTCTCCAGCGCCGACCCGCGCGCATCCAAGACGTTGGCGGCTCGGCGGGCGCGCAGGTTCTCGAGGTTCTCAAGAGTTTGGTTCGGGCGCCCGAGGAGGGCGAGGCCGAGAGGGGGCGTCGGCAGCTACGCCGGGCCTACAACGACCCGATCGTTCGCCAGAAGCCAAAGGAGTATGCGAAGCTCCTGGGGAAGCTGCACGAGTGGGGAATCACCGAGCACAGGCGGAGCTGCAAGAAGTGTGCGGGCACGTTCTGTGTCTGGAAGAAGGGCAGGGGGCAACGTCTCATTCTTGATTGCCGTGTAAGCAATTGCTGGTTCAGGGATGCCCCTGGAGTAAGCTTGGCGACAGGCGACAGTTTTGGGCCGCTCGAGATCGAGGGGGCCGAGCCGTCGCACGCCTCTGGGGTCGACATCGAGGCGGCCTTCTACTCCATTGGGCTGCCCGAGGAGCTGCGGGAATCCTTTGGGATGGAGCCTGCGTGCGCGGGCGCGGTCGGCGTCGGCTGGCGGGGCGGGGTGCGCCTGCATCCCGGAGAGAAGGTCGTGCCGGTGCTGAGCGTGCTGCCCATGGGCTTCAAGGGGGCGCTGCGCGTCTGCCAGGCAGCTTCGCGGCGCTCGGGGCGGACGGAGAGGATGGGCGCCGCCTGGCGACGGAGGTCGGCGCGGCGCTGGAGGCCGACGGGCCGGGCGCCCACCCCGTCGCCTGCAGTCGCGGGGGCGACGCGCTCGGCTGGCACTTAGATGAGCGGCGGTCGCGTAGGCGTGGCCCCTCGCACCGCGCGGCGCCTCATCCTAGGCCCGCGAGAGATATTGCGACGGGGTCGAGCGAGCGGCTCCCAGTTGAGAAGCATCGTCGGTCACATCACGTTTAGCGTATTGCTGCGGCGCCCCATTCTTTCAGCACTCCACGCAGTCTACGCCTTTATCGATCGCCACCCTGTTCGTGTGTCACCACTCTGGGAAGCAGGAGTTGGAGTGGGTGAGTCACCTTTTGCCCTTGGCCTCCAGAGAGCTCAACATGGAGTGGAACCCAAAGGTCGCCGTGTTCGACGCGAGCGAGTGGGGCCATGGGGTCATGGAGCGAGGATGACACCCGAGCGATCAAGTATGCTGGGCGATATTCTGATAGGTGGAGGTTTACGAAGTCGGGGGAGCAACGGGTACGACCACGTGATGACGAGGGAGTCTGGGGACAAGAATAAGGAGATCTTCGAGGGGTGCCTGCGGTGCCCAGGTCTGTCTGGGGCGGCTGCTGGAGGCGAGTGATAAGTAGGCCTTGGAACGTCGGCGCTCCGTCGCATACTTCGGGGCAGTAAGGCCGTGGGTCGTCGACATCTCATTCTCAGTGATGCCATGGCCGTTGTGCTCGGAATAACGAAGGGACGAAGTCCGGGCCGGGCGATGGCGCGCTGCCATAGGCAGTGGGCCGCTCTGTGCCTGGCCAGCTTCGCAGTCGTGCACGCGCGCTGGATATCCCCCGAGAGGAACGCTGCAAACGGGGCCTCGCGAGGCTCCAGCTAGCTCTGCGCTGCTGCTGCCCGCCATGCTGAGCCGCGGTCCGACGGGGCGGCGGCTCGGAGGCCTTTCGAGCGCCGGGGCTCGGGAGGCTTCGAGTTCGTGGATCCAGTCACCGGCGGCTTCATCGGCTCGGAGGGGGCCGAGTCCTTCGCCCTCCGTCCGCCGCCTGGGCTCGCCCACCCAAGCGAGCCGAGCGGGGCGGAGAAGGGGGGCGAGCGAGAGCCTGCAGGGTGCGAGGCGCCAGCGCCGCCGGCTGAGCGTGAGCTCGGCGGCCAGCGCGAGCGCCGCGGCGCGCCGTCTCGTGGGCGCCAGTCGCGCGCTGGCCGCCGCAGGGAGGCAGCAGGCGCTGCTGGAGCCAGGGCTGACGCGGCTGGAGCGCGGGGTGCCGCTGGGCGCGCTGGCGCTGACGGCGCTGGAGGGCGAGGCGGTGGGCCCGCTGACGCAGATGGACTACCGCAGCCGATTCAGCTGCTTCACGCGCTGGGCTTCGGCACAGGGGCTGAGCTTAAAGACCCCCGCCGAGGCCGACGAGGCGCTAGTCGCGCGGCTGAACGACCAGTTCTTCGAGGGCGAGCCCCTGGCGACGGGCGCGAAGATGCTGGCGGTGCTGGGCCATCTGCTCCCCGGGGCGCCCCGGGGCGCCCCCGAATTGCGGCGCTCGCGGCGGGCACTTGGGCTGGAGACGGCGCAACCCCGCCAGCTCGCGCCTGCCGCTGCCGTGGCCTGTGACTGCTGCCTTGGTGAAGGAGCTGCTAGCGCTGCGGCAGCTGGCGGCCGCGGGGGCGACCCTCGCGGCGTTCGTGCTGCTGCTGCTGCTGCGGCCGGAGGAGGCGCTGAGGCTGGCGGGCGGCCGCTTGGTGGCGCCGGTGAGCGGAGGGGCCCGGGGCCGCCGCAAGTGGTCTGTGGTGCTCCACCCCCACAAAGAGGAGTGACCTCGAAGGTGGGAGCGCAAGACGAGTGCATGGTGTTCGACAGCCCGAGTTCGAGCTGATCGTGCCGCTGCTGGTATCACTGCAGAAGACCGTGCCGGAGGGAAGGCCCTACTTCCCGCTGAGCGCGGCACAGTGGCAGGAGGCGTTGAGGGCGGCGGCGAGGAGGCTGTTTTCCGGTCTGGCCGAGCCCATGCTGTACCAGCTGCGGCACGGAGGGGCGTCGCACGAGGCCCTCGCCGAGTTCCGCAGCACCGAGAGCCTCATGCGAAGAGGCAGGTGGCAAAGCCTGCGGTCGGTGAAGCGGTGCGAGAAAGGAGGGCGCGTCAGTGCCAGTGGGGCCTTCGGTCAAGCTCCCTATGGAGCCACGAACCGTGTGAGGGGTGTGCCAAATGGACGCTGGGCGCATGCGGCCTGCGCCACTGGGGCCTTCGGTCAAGCTCCCTACGAGGCCACGATCCTCGTGAGAGGTGCGCCGAACTAGTAGGCATGCGGATAGCAGGGGCAGAGAAGGGAGAAGGGAGGAGCGGGCAGCTGGAGATGAGGTGAGTGACGCGGGGCGCTGTCTCTTCAAAACGGGGACCCAACACCACAGGATGGCTGGGAAGTAAGAGACATGCGGAGGGCAGAGGCCGGGATGGGAGGAGGGAGGAGGCGGGAGGAAGGAGGCGGGAGGAGAACGCGGGGCGCTGTCTCTTCACACAGCGAGGGCCCAATACCACAGGATGGTTGGGAAACGTGCTGCGTAAGCGCAAGCATTTTCAGTCCCGCGCGGAATTATCGGATCGGCGGTGGGCTTCCCTCCCAAGCGCGTGGAGCGAGCCAGGGGCGGCGCCGGAGGCGCCGCCAGAGAGTGTTGGACGTTTTCGTCGGTACCGCCGCATGATCTTGCGTGGCGTCGCCACTTCGCTAATCCAGCGAACGGTACTTGTACGAGTACGCATCGGAAACTTATTTTTCATTTATTTCACAGCACCTTTTTCCGACATCTCTCCATGCAATGTAGTTGTTTCTTGGATCCTTGAACTATCCATGAGCAGCTGCCTTACAAGCCGCATCCGACCCAAAGCGCGCATGCCGCCGCTGTGGCATCGCCTGCACGAGGCGACTACAAGCCGCGCGCCAGTCCGGGCAGCTGACGCCGCGATTTGTTCACAACCAAGCTCTCACATATACTCCAAATCCCTTATTAAACGACCCCACTTTTAAAAACCGGACCCCCGTCCGAATGCGACCTGATATTCTGGACCCCCCTCTTCGACGGGGCGCTTTCATACACAGGACCCCCTAAACTCCAATCCAAAGAAAGCGCCCCAATGACTGGGCCCCAATAACAGGCATTTTAAAAAACCGGACACGGGGGACGATTGATAAGGGATTTTGAGTATTGGGCCCTTTCCCCGGGACCGCTTTTCCATCCCGAGTCGTTGTCTGACGGCACGGGAAACCTGGCAAGGGCCCCCAGAGGCCGACAATTGAACCAACAAAAAACTCGTTTTCTTGGATCTCTGGGGGGGGTGCTATGGATTTGTGGGGAGTCCAAATGGATGCTAAGGTGGGCCATACCAGGCGCCACTAGATTATAAGCGGGTCGCACGTGTCCTGCTTAGCTTGGGCGGTTTCGGTAAATCCGCTAAGTGAGCCCGAATTTTTACCCCCCCGCAGCCACTCGGGGCAATTTGGTCCACTTCTAGGCCAGGGTCGGCCAGATATACCCCACATCCGCATCCAATCGTGCCCCCTCTGCTACCCCCCTTAGCCCTCGTGCCTAAAACTTTGGAGGCCTGTGCCACGAACAGAAGCGCGACGCTGGATGAGAGGGACCTCGGGCTGGGCTGGGTTGTCTGGGGCCCAGCCTGGTCGGCTACAGCATCGCAGGTCGGCCCAGGAGCCTGCTCGGATGGCGGCCGCGTCGTCGCGCCTATCTGTCAAGCAGTGGCGAATTGTCCTGAATTGCCCCTAGGCCCACCAACGAATGGTCAAAGAAGCCTTTGTCACTTGCACGAGATGTTCTCAGAACATGTCTCGCTGAGGCAGTCTTGGTGTAATACGTTAGGGTCGTGCTTTACGCATCTGGTTCTGCTCTTGGAACCTTCTGCTGTCCTAACAAGAATGCCGGGACGGTCGGTCTCTGCTTAATTCTGGGTTGATCCCGTTCTGTCATTTCAGTCGATCTCGGTCTCGTTGTTGGTTCGGTCGGTCTGAGATCGACTGTGCTCAGGAGGGAAAAAAACACACAGACACAATTAATCCTCGATTTCCCAGAAAATATGGGAAAATATGGGAAGTGGGGGGGGAAGACAAAAACCCAGAAAATATGGGAAAATATGGGGATTATTTTTATTTGTGTGTATTTATTTGTGTGTCCCAGGGCCCCTTCATGTTCGTAACCCACACCTCCAACGTATCGCAAAAGCAGGACGGAGGTATTCTTTGTGGTTGTTCTGCATCCGGGGGCCCTCGCCGGGTCCCGAGGCCGTCAACAAACGCTTCAGTATGAAAACCCAGTTCTGGGAATTTGGTCGAGATCTCGGGGGGGGGTCAACAGTGTGAATCGGGGGTGGACAGAACCCCCAACAGTGACACGTCGATTAGTGAATTGTCCGTTCTCGGTTCTCGAGAGGGCGCCGTGGCCGTTATTTCCCAGGCCTGCGCCCGCCAGGTTCGGGCCTCAGGTCGTTTTCACTAAACCACGTTTTACTAAAGGGGGGGTCTGTCCATCCCCGAAATTTGGTCGAGATCTCGGGGGGGGGTCAACGGTGTGACACGAATCTTGGCGTCGGGGGTTTGGGGAGATCGACTGCACGTAAAATTGATCCTTCGCCAGATTGACCTCTGGTGCGGCTCATAGCGGTCCGTCTAGCGCCGGCTGGCGCGCTTGAATTTTGCCCCCGTCGCGGCCCACGAGAGCCGCGCACCAGAGGTGATATTTGCCCAGGGTCACTCCTACTTTTAGCCGATGGGTGTTTGCTGTCGCCCCTCATCCGCTCGCTGAGGCCTATACTTTCTTCATACCCCTGTTCGCGACAGTCTTCACCGGCTCCGTCGCGTTGGCGCCGTTCCTGGCGTTCCTGGCGACTGCTGCGCGGGGGAGGGCTGACGCACATTGCGAGACACGGGCATGTCGATCCTAGTATGTAATGTTCATGCGGCGCTCACAAAAGAGTGGCGCGATGGAGGCGGCCTTCTGAGAAGACTCGAGGCTTCTAAGAGGGCGCGGGGTGTTTTAGAATCATAGAAGCCTCCCTGGCTTCTTGGTAGCCTTCGCAGAAGCCTCTCCCTCCTTCCCAGAAGGCCTCTGCCTTGGAAGAAGCCCCCCGCCTTCTGAGAACCCCAGTCCCTCGTGTCACACCCCTGCGCGCGCCGCCACATGAGCGACGGAAGAAAACGGGGACGATTGTGCGGACATTTGCGCGTAAGCTTCCCGCGGAAGGTCGTGCGAAAGCGTCAAGGTATGCCACGCTGGCAGCCCGCGTAAGCCGCGGCGTAAAGCCGCAATGTCTTCTTGCGTAAGTCCCTCATAATTTCGCCGCTCAAATGGTTTCCATACTTCTCTGCTGCTGTTGAATACCAATTTGAGACTACTAGACACATGTGGTTGCTTGACCTTCTCTTGGCGCTTTGGCGGTCTCGCCTTGGCGCCGGCTACATGCTCTTTGAAAGCGAGGCCCACGCTCGAGCGTTTCAGGCCCCCCCGAACGCAACAGCGCCCCCAGGTGTCTCTCAAGAGGTGGTGATGTGCATAGATATACACATATGCGTACACATGTATGTGTACACCTATAACACTCTCTATGTGTGTATATATATATATGAATATACATGTTTGCATATATATATATATATAAATGAATATGTGCTGGTGTATATATGCACATATATATGAATATGTGTGCATAGGCATATATATATATATATATATAACGATATACGTATGACAGGCGTGTACACATACATGCATGTATATATATGTACATATGTATGGATGCATGTATGCATGTATGCATGTATGTATGTGTGCATGTCTGTATATATATATATGTGTGTATGCATACACGCATGTATGTATGTATGTAGGTACGTACGCATGTATGTATGTATGTATGTATGTATGTATGTATGTGTGTATGTATGTATGTAGGTATGTATGTATGCATGCATGCATGCATGCATGTATGTATGTATGTATGTATGTATGTATGTATGTATGTATGTATCTATGTATCTATGTATGCGTGTATGGATTGATGGATGGATGGATGGATGGATGGACGGATGGATGGATGGATGGATGAATGTTTGTGTATATATACATATATATATATATATATATATATATATATATTGGCATTCGGTCCATCCCGCCACCGTGCCTGGGTTGCGGATCAGAGCTCTGAGGGATGATTCTTGGGGCCTCTTGCCTCTTGGGGGCCTTTTGGTGCCTCATGGGGGCCTCTTGCGGCCTCTTAGGGCCTCTTGGGGGCCTCTTAGGGCCTCCTGGGGGCCCCATCGGAGCCGAGAGCTCAAAATGTCCATTCGGGTCCCCCATCTAAGCCCCATCTTGGAGCCGTCTTTGGGGCCTCTTGGTGTCTTGAGCGCCTCTTGGTCCGCCTGGGGGCTCTCTTGAGCTGTCTTGGGGCCGTCTTGGGGGCCTCTGGGGCCGTCTTGCGGCGATCTTGGGGGCCTCCTGGGCCGTCTTGGATCGTAGGGAAGCAGAAGGCGAGAACGCCAACATCTTTCAAACACTGTTGGGAACGCAATGATTTTGTCTTCTTGGGGCCCTCTTGGGAGGCTGCTTGGAGGCCTCTTGGGGCGTCTTGGAGGCCTCTTTGGCCGTTTTGGGGCCATCTTGGGTGTTGGGGCGATCTTCAGGCGTCTCGGAGCCCTCTTGGGCCGTCATGGCCTCTTGAGGCCCTCTGGGCCCGTCTTGGGGCCCAAGAGGGCCCCGAAAGAGTCACGCGAGAAGCCGCGGCAAGCATGCTGAAAGCCGCGGCAAGTCCAAGGAAATTTGTGAATTCAGGGTCCGGGCCCTATTTCAAAACCTCAGGATCGAGGGCTGAGGCTCAGGGGATAGGGCAAAGGACCTGAGGACACGCCCACTCCGTGCCCAGCGGCACGGTGGCGGATAGAGAGAGAGAGAGAGGAAGGGAGAGACAGAGCAGGACGAACACGGGGAGGAGAAAAATGAAGCCGAGGTTGGCTGGGAGCTGATGTGGCGCTGGGCAGAGAGACGCGAGGGACGGCGCTCTGGACAGGGGCCTGGAGGCGACACTGACTTTCTGGACGCTCACGTCCATTTCGCGCGTGCTGGAGAACCCGTTCGCGGACAAGCTCTCGTCGTCCCCTCCCTTCTGCCCTTCTGCCCTGGCGGCGAGCAGTGTCAGTGGCATGGAGTTTCCCACCATGGCAGGGCTCATTGTTCGGCTCTGGCCGGCCCGATCCGATCCGATTCCGATGTTCTGCCAATCTGGTGCTGCCCAGTGCTTGCTTGGCGATGCTCTGCATCCTGGCGCAGCCGATCTGACACTGTGCCAGCACAGACCGATCCGACGCACATTCCGAGCCCATCCGATTTGACTGATCCTGCCGATGGGTGACGCTCGCCCGAACGAGGGTGGAATCTTCATGCCCCCCGTCGGGCAGAGAGTCTTTCCGATTTGACTGATCCTGCCGATGGATGACGCTGGTCTGAACGAGGATGGAATCTTCATGCCCCCGTGGGCCGAACAGAATCCGAGCCGCCCCGGGACAGGCACCCTTGTCGGGTCCCGGACGTCCGAGGACGCGATTTGTCTTAAGTCGGGCCTGTCCCTCTAGAGGAGGAATACTCAAACTTACCCTGGCGACGTACCCAACCCCTGCGCAGTGCGGGGCAGGAGTAGCTTGGGAGATTTGACGAGAAGGCGGCGACGTGACATGGACGCATCTACTTCTGCGAGCGGCATTCGGAAGGTTCGCAGGCCCCCAATCAAAGGAAATACGATGAGTAACTAAGTGAACCCCTGAGTCACTAAGGAAGACGCAAGGTCCAACAGGAGACGGTGGACAAGGGGCTTGAAACGTCGGCGGGGCAGCAACACCATGACATGCCCCCCAAGAACGGCGAGGCCCCGCTCAGGTCTGCGCGGTGCCTCACTCCGCTGGACCCATCAGCAACCCTCGAAAGTGGCGAGCCCACCAGAAGCCTTCGAACGAGGCGACAGTTTCGCAGATCGCAGCCCCCCAGGGACGGGGAGGTCCCGCTCAGGTCCGCACGGTGCTTCACTCTGGTGGACCCACCAGCAGCCTTCGAAAGTGGCGACAGTTTCGCCGATCGCAGCCCCCCAGGGACGGGGAGGACCCACTCAGTTTGGCGCGGTGCCTCACTCCGCTGGACCCACCAGCAGCCTTCGAAAGTGGCGACAGTTTCGCAGATCGCAGCCCCCCAGGGACGGGGAGGTCCCGCTCAGGTCCGCGCAGTGTCTCACCCCGCTGGACCCACCAGCAACCCTCGAACGTGGCGACAGTTTCGCAGATCGCAGCCCAAAAGGGACGGGGCGGTCCCGCTCAGGTCCGCGCGGTGCCTCACCCCGCTGGATCCACCAGCAGCCTTCGAAAGTGGCGAGGGTTTCGTAGATCGCACCCCCCCCCAGGGACGGAAAGGTCTTGCTCAGGTCCGCGCGGTGCCTCACTCCGCTGGACCCACCAGCAAACCTCGAAAGTGGCGACAGGATTCAGCAACTCGCCTGCCCCTTGTCCCTTCCTTCCGTCCGTCCTCTCTTCCCTTGCCTTGAAGGGCTGTCTTAGGGGGTCAGAAAGATATACCCCGAAGGGGGTATGATCGAAGACGAAGAGTGCGGGTATCGATGGTTTCGGATATACGTACTGAATGACACGCGAGCAAATCAGAGCAAATAGTTTTAAACTGATTGCTGTTGTTGTTGCTGCTGTTGGACCTTCTGTTAGCGAATAGTCGCTTCTGGTTACCAGTCTATGTTTTAGCTACAGTGCTTCCCCTGGGGCTCGCGCCAAATGTTTTACTAGGGAGCCTAAGGGGTCACCAAACTGTGTTGTTGGTTTCCGGCTTACAGCAACAACACCAACAACGACGGATCCCGCCCGATCTTTCCACACAATGGATTTCCGAATCGCGCTTCCGCGCGGGAGGTATAGACAAGACTCGCGTTCTCACTTTGGACTACTTCGCAATGTATTCAGACGCCGCGCCCTCGAGTGCTCTCTCTCTCGCTTTGGATGTCCTACGATGTATTTGGGAATCGCGCTGTCGCTCGAGACGTTTTCGAGATTCATGCAGGACGCACGCCTCAGCAGCCCGCCTGCTCGACCTGGCCGCCGGGGCTTGCCTCCCCGACCCGCCCGCTAGGGTCTGCCCGTCCGGTCTGCCCGCTTGGTTTTCCCAAGAGCTTTCTGCTCCTAGCCCCACTCCTGCTGCTCTCTCTGGTGCTCCCTCCCCCACCCTCCCCCTGATCCCTTCCTTCCATCCGTCCTCTCTTCCCCTGCTTTCGGGGCTGCTCGAAGCAGACGTTGCAGATCAGAAAAATAACCCCTAAGGGGGTACGATAGCAGACTGAGAGGGCGGGTGTCAAGGTTTCGGGATAGACGTGTTGAGTGGCACGCGAGCAAATATGAGCGAATAGGCTCAAATTGAGTGTGTTGTTGTGGTTGTGGTTGTGGTTGTGGTTGTGGTGGTTGTTGTTGTTGTTTGTGGTGGTTTTGGTGATGGTGGTGAAGGGGGGGGTGTTGGTGTTGGTGTTGGTGATGGTGTTGGTGTTGGTGTTGGTGCTGGTGCTGGTGTTGTGGTTGCTGCTGCTGGTGATGTCGCTGTTGTTGTTGCTGTTAATGTTGGTGGTGTTGTCGTCGTTGTTGTTGTCGTTGTTGTTGGTGTAGTTATTGTTATTGTTGTTGCTGTTGTTGTTGTTGTTGTTGTGTTCGGTTTCCTGGTGCCCTCGACGGGCCCCCGGGCCATCCACAAACTATTCAGGATGAAAAACGGGCCCTGCGGAAGTTGTGCAGATCTCTGGGGGTCCACGCAGCGACACAATGCATCGCCGGATGTCTGGGTTCAGAGATTAATGTTGTTTTCCTGTGGCGCGTGCTGGCCGTTACCCGGGCCAATGATCGTACGTGGGGGGGGGGGCTTGCACCCCTCTCGGCCCTCAATTCGGCTACGCGTGATTTTAGGATATTGCATTTTTCCCAGTTGTCCCGTGGTGTTAGGTCTTCGTTTTAAGGAGACAGCGCCCTGCGTCCACTCCTTCCTCCCGCTGCTATCTCCTCCCTCCTCTATTCCCTGCCGTTGCCCTCCGCGTGTCCCCATCGTCATCATCATCATCATCATCATCATCATCATCATCATCATCATCATCAGCATCATCATCATCAGCATCATCATCACCGTGCGCACGTTTCGTGGCCCCACAGGCTGCTCCACCGAAGGCCGCCGCGGCAGGGTCCGCATGGCGGTGCCGTGCCCACCCGGCACATTCCTCATACGTTTCGTGGCATAGTGAGCTGCACCGAGCGCCGCAGTGGCAGCGTCCGCATGGCGGCGCCGCACATCTATCGGGACACCCCTCGCACGTTTCGTTGCCCCGCAGGGTGCTCCACCGAAGGTATCGGAGGCAACGTCCGCATGGCGGCATCGCATCCATTTCGGCGCACTCCTCACCCGTTCCGTGGCCTCATAGGGATTCGCACCGAACGCCGCAGCGGCAGCGCCCGCATGGCGGCATCGCGCTCTGGGGGCGATCTTCGGAGCCGCTTTGGCCGTCTTGGGTCGTCAGAAGGGTAGAAGAAGCCAAACGCCAGGATCCTTCAACCACCACTTGCAAATCAGCGATTTGGGCCTCTTCGGGTCTTTGGAGGGCCTCGGGCCTCGTGGTCCGTCGTGGAGGCTTCTTGTGGGCCGCTGGCCGTCTTGGGCCATCTTGAGGCCACCTTGAGGCTGTCTTGGGTGCATCTGGGCCCTGTCTTGGAGACACCTTGCTGCCATCTTGGGCACTCGTGGGGCCCTCGTTGTGGTCTTGGAGGCCTCTTGGAGGCGTCTTGAGAGGCGGCTTTGGCCTGCGGGTTGGGCCGGAGGCCCCATGTGAGCTTCCAAACAGGTGCCAAAACCAACCCGAGCTTTAGCTCGCCGGACACCCCTCTGCAACACACAAGGAGGCGGCAGAGGCCTCTCGGGGCCCTCCCGGCCCGATCTGGGGCGCTCGCGGCTCCGAACAAAAGTCTTGCGGAGAGCGCGAGGGAAGCCGCGGGAGGCACGCCAGGAATCCCGGAGAGACAAAAATTGTGAATTTGGGTCCCAGGCCCCCCTGCAGTTCCATCCTGAGGATTGAGGGCTGAGGACTACAAGGGGCCTGAGGGAGCTCCAACTCGTGCCTCGCAGCACGGTGGTGGATCTTTCATTCCAGGACAATCTGGCCCCCGATTGGCTGCACTCTGCTATGGTGGTCTCCTGCGCTGTTCTCCTGACCTCGCAGCACCTTGGCCGCCGCCGTGAGGAAGCAGAGTTCCGCCGCCAGGTGTCCGCGACCCTCTGGGCTCGAGCCATTCTGGACAAGGCCCGGTGACACGTCCCCGTGGCCACAGGGCAGCGCTTCCCCTGGCGATGTCCTCCACGGCGCCAGGCGACCGCACCCTGGCGACCGCTGTGCTGGCCGGGGCCGCGGCGGGCGCCATCGGCGGTACCGTGGCGGCCCTCTGCGTCCTCAACGGCCGGAAGAGCGGGCCACTCGCGGGCGGCCCAGCGGCAGCGGCCACGGAGGGCGGGGCCAGCGAGAGGAGGGGCCGCAGGCGCGAGTCCGTGCTCAATACCGACGAGAACCGCGCGCACGTTGCCGGGGTGACATCCAAGTGGACCTGCGAGACCGGAAGAAGAGAGGCGGCACACTCAGGGGGGTGGCGCGAGCGGGGGGGGCCTTCCAAGAGTGGGGGAGGCTTCTGGGAAGCCCCCTGCCTGCTTCGAAGACCCGCTGCCTCTTCTGAGCAGCGAAGAACAAGGCGCATGCGTCTATGAATCTCCGTGGGTTTCGGGGGTATGCGTTGCGCGAACACTCGTAACGCCGCGAGGCTGGTCTCGGGGACTGGGGGGCCGCATTCATGTGCGTGGCTGAGCGCGCACGTCTCATGTGGGCCCCCTGTTCTTAGAATCCAAGCCCCCTCGCAGCATTTCTTGCAGGCGCCGCCGAAAAGGGGGGGGGGATTCGAAGATGGGGGCGCGAAATCTGCTGCACGACGCCGCCAGGCCATTCCCTCGATGCGTGGTCGCACTCGGGCACGCTCCGAGCGGGAGGCGGCGCCAGGCCTTGGGGGAGCCAGCTGCGGGCAGCTGAGTCGCGATCTTCACCCCCTTCGAGGCACAAACGTGGGCACAAACAGAACCTCTTGGAGCTCCGGAAGTTTATGTCTGCGCCGCTTTGTTGGTCCTCGATTTCCGTCCGCCCCGGCGCTCCTCAGGACGAAGCCTGTCGTCATATCGGGGCCGGGGCTCGAGGAGTTGGCGAGGGCGGTGTCGAAGAGACTGGGCTGCGAGGCGGTCGCCGAAGGGGACGGTCCCACGCTCTCCGTGGAGGTGTTCAAGTCGAACGACCCCAACATCAGGTCGGCGGCGAGGGTTGCGTCGGAGGAGGGACAGGTACCGCCGCTTGTCCTGGAAAGTTCGTCGCCACTGCTGGGTTGTCCCCGCGGATCAGTGGTTTCTGAAGGAGGAGGAAGTTTGAGGATCGAGGCATTCGGACGGTATTGAGCCTTGAAGGGGAGATCCCCGTCTTTCTGATGAGCTTCCCCTCACCCGTGCATCTGTTGAGAATTTTTGCGTGTCTCGCGTCCAGGAAAGTCTACTGTGCTAGTCCCAGTCCACACAGTAACCGTTGTCCACGTGTGCAAATGTTGCTAGACTTAAGCACGAGTGTGATCGGCGCATTCGGCGAGAGTCGTTGTCGTCGTCGTCGGGGTCGGAGGAGGACGAAGAGGAGGAGGAGGAGAAGGAGGAGAAGGAGGACCAGTGCAAGCCCAAGACTCATCAACGATGCTGCAGTCAACCCTCCCTCGAAACCTTCTTGTCGTGGAGAGCAACCATTTGAAAATCTTGAACCGTGCCAGAACGCCATTCCTGAGACTCCAACGCCGCGAAGCAGCATTACTGTTGTGTCCTGGTGGTCCAGAATCGTGCGAGAACATCGTTCCTGAGACTTCGACACTGCAAATCTGCATCGTGCCGAAGCGCAATTTCTGGGACGCCTGCCATTCAAATCCTTGAAACTGCTGTAAGCTCTCGAAGCGAGTATGCGCAGCACTCAGGCGAGGGCCACATTCTCAAAATCAGCCCATCCATGACATTGCTGCAAACTTTTAAGACGAATGTGTGCGGAGCTGCGGCGAGAGCCACATTCAAAAAACCACCCGCCCTCCATCCGCGAAGTTGGTGCGATTGTTTTATGACGATTGCGCGCGGCGCTCAGGCGAGAGCCGCATTTTGAAATCCACGCGCCCTCCATCCGTGAAGGTCTTGCAAATGTTTGGAACTAATGTGCGCCTCGCCGAGGCGAGAGTCACATGTTGAAAACCACCCGCCTTCCATCCGTCAAACTGTTGCAAGCTTTTGAGACGAATGTGCGCGGCGCCAATGCCATGGCCACATGTTTAAAACCACCCACCCTTCACCCGCGAAGTTGTTGCAAACTTGTGTTGCGAATGTGCGCGGCGCTACGCAAGAGCCACATTTTGAGAGAACCATCCGCGCATCATCCGTGAAGCGCCAAGGCGAGAACCACATGTCGAAAACCAACCCTACTCCATCCGTTAAGTTGTTGCAAGTTCTGGATGACTTCGCAGCAGGACCATGCCATGCCAGCCACGGATCTGTTCGCGGCAGGGCCATGCCTGCGATGCCCGACGGCTTGGCCGAGTTTCTTTCTGCGCAAACGCATCAGTCCGCAGGCTATGCCCAGCAGGCTCGCCGAAGTGTTCTTCTCCGCCGGAGCTCACCCGCACTGCCCTTTGTCAGATTGGCCATGCGACCTTGTGGAACAGTATGATGATGGTGATTGGAGTTCTCCCCCAAGCCATGCGCGCAGACTTCGGAGGACGAACTTCGACTCCTGCCTGTCATGCTGCGCCCGTGCGGCCAAACGGCTGGGCAAAGCTTGGCCAAACCATAAAGGGGCCGTGCGGTCCCATGGCCGCCGCTGAAACGCTTCGGGGAACGCGCGGGGGAGGAAGTAGAAGAGGGGGAGCAAGAGGAGGAGGAATAGAAGGAAGAGGAGGAGGAGGAGGAGGAGGAGGAGGAGGAGGAGAAGGGGGAGGAACAGAAACCTTTCCGGAGCCTTTTGCAGCATTCTTGGGCGTGTTGGGAGCTTCCTGGAACCGCCTCGGTCGGGGGCTTTGGGGGGATCTCATTGCGGCTCTTGGGGGCCTTCCACGGTTTCTTTGGGACCTCTTAGCGGAGCTCCTCTGTGACCAGTCGTGGGGCCCCGGCTTGGCCAAGCTATCGGACGAAGTATTCCCCAAGCCGCTCTGGAAATTCTTCGGGGAACACTTGGGGGAGGATGTGGGGGAGTGTCGGGAAAGGGAGGAGGAAGAGGGTAATTTGGAGGAGGAGAAAGAGGAGGAGAAGGAAGTGGAAGAGGACTCTTGAGAGCCTCTTGGGACACGCTTTGGGGCCTCCTGGTAGCTCCCTCAAGGTCTCTCGGAGACGTCAGGGGGCCTCCTTCGGCCTCTTGAGGGCCATTATGGGCTTCTCGGGGCCGTCTTTGGCCGTCTTAGAGCATTCCTGACCCGTCTGACGCCGTCGGATGCCGTCTTAGGGGCCTCTCTGGGCCCTCTTTGGGCCGCCTCAGAGCCGTCCTGGTGGCCATCTTGGGCGTTTGGAGGCCATCTGGGAGCGTTTTGGTCCCCCATTTTGGGGGCCTCTTGGGCCGTCCTGGAGCCATGTTGGAGGCCTCCTGGACGCTCAGGGGGCCATCTTGGGGGCCTCTTGGGCTGTCGTGGGCCATCGGAAGGCCGAAAATCAGCAAATGCCAAAATCCCTCGAAAACGTCAGGAAAAAACTGTAAAGTTGGTCTCGTTGGGCCTTCTTGGAGGACCCCTCGGAGGCCCCTTGGGCTGTTTTGGAGGCCTCTTGAGGCCGTCGCACGTGCATCTTGAGCCGTCACCGTCATGGGTGAGTCTTGGGCCATGTTGGGCTCGTTGGGTGCCATCTCTGGCATCTCGGATGCGTCTTGGAGGCATCTTGGACTCCATCTTGGCCTTCTTGGAGGCGCTCGGGCCAACAGAGTTGAGCTTGTCGGCGGCTCACGCCGCCTTGCGGGTGGCCGGCGCGTTGGGCCGAAGCCCCAGGGGGCGCTTAAGGTAGAACCAGAAGTCCTTTAACATTTGCCACGCAGGGCACCCTGGCGGCAAGACCACCCGAGGCGGTCGGCCCATCCCGCCTCCGTGCCTGGGTTTTGGGTATGAAGCCTATCGGATGTTCACTGGGATCTCGTGTGAGGCCTCTCGGGGGCCTCTCGGAGGCAGTACGGGGCCTCTCGGGGGCTGCTTTGGGCCTCCTTGGGGCCTCTTGGGGGCCTCTTGGGGGCCTCTTGTGGGCGAGGCCTCGTGGATGCTCGTTGGGATATCGCGGGGAGCCTCCCAGGGGACTCGTGAAGGCAAATACGACGCAAGCAGTGTCGACCCGCATGTCCCGAGACCAATTATCTGAGCGGCGTCCAGCAAATCCGACGCGAAGCTCTCGGAGAATCGCCGTTTCGGCCTGCATGCTTTGTGGCCAATTCGCGGAGCGGCGCTCGGCTAATCCGACGCGGAGCACTCCGCGCATCGCATGTTTTTGAGGCGGATTAGCGGAGCGGCGCTCCGCTAATCCGACTCGGAGCACTTGGGGAATCGGCGTGCATGCGTAAAGGCAGACTAGCGGAGCGGCGCTCCGCTAATCCGACTCGGAGCACTTGGGGAATCGGCGCGCATGCTTTGAGGCCTCTTAACGGCGAGGCGCTCCGCTAATCCGACGCGGGGCAGTCCGCGAATCGCATGTCTTGAGTCGGATTGGCGGAGCGGCGTTCCGCGATTCCGACGCGGAGCGTTCTGGGAGTTGGCGCGCATGCTTTGAGGCGGATTAGCGGAGCGGCGCTCCGCTAATCCGAGGCTGTGCGGTCCGGCAGTTTGGCTCCGGGCCAAACTGCCAGACACGGCCGTTCCGTGCCCAGAGGCACGCCCGCTCCGTGCCCAGAGGCACGGTGATGGTTCAAGAGGAGACGGACCAATTGTATATGGATGGCGATAGGACGGCGACGACGACTGGCAAGACCAGGAGCAGCCGCAGTTTTTACGGCATCAGCAGCATCAGCATCAGGAGGAAGAAACCGAGGAGAAGCGGACAATGAGGGAGGGAAGGAGTTACATCAGCAGTCACGTCAGTTCTTCTGCCCCAGAGAAAATTATGGCTCCATGGCATACTATCTGGAAGGGCTTCGCAACATGACGCTGGCCCCCTTTCTATCAGAGTGGAACTTGCCAAAGCTATGTTGAACGTGGGCGCCGATTTGACGCAATTTCGGAACTTCATGCGAGGACAGCAGCTCATTGTGGCGTCAGTACAAGGGATCGTGGCCTCGGGGGCACGACTCTTGCTTAATTGGAAGGGGTCGTCTACCATGGATCGTGGTTTCGGGGGCGCAAACAAGTTATAATTTTCAAGGGATCATGGCTCTGGGGGCGAGAGTCAGGCATAATGTGTTAGGGGTCGCGGCCTCGGGGGCGCAACCGCGGAGTGGCTTATAAGGGATCGTGGATTCGGGGCGCCTGTCTGGTGCGATTTGCTAGAGATCGTGGCGTCCGGGGCGCGACCAGGTATCATTTACGAGGCATCGTTGCCCGGGAGGCGAGAATATCACGCAATTATAATGCGAGGGATCGTAGCGCCGTGGGCGCCAATCTCAAGCATTGGATATGTCCAGGGCCCCCAGAGGAATTCGGAAAACCGCCACGGGGGCCGTGGCAAAAGTACTTCTGTCGGTTACACTCTCTCCCCTCGCGCGGACAGTAACAAAATACTGCAGAGGCACAACGCATAGCTATGACAATCGAGACTGGAAACTGGAAGTGTTGCAGGGTGCAGGGAACCCACGCAGCCTGGTGGCCCGGTGGCCTTCAAGGCGCCCAACAAATGTGTTAGTTTCAAGCGGCTTAGGATCCAATGTAATCTTAATGGTGAGAGGATCGGATGGGACGGAGGGAGGTGGGCGGTGGGGAGGAAGGGGAGGTTCAACTGGAAGCGCATCGTGGGCCGGAAGATCATCTTCCTGTTCGACACCGTCGACCAGGTTTCTCCTGTTTCGAGCAGATCGTCGTCGTCGTCCTACTCCTCGTCCTCCTTCTCCTTGTCGCCTTCAGATCTTCCCAGACGTGTTCCGATCAGGATTCCGTGTTTTTTTTCTGGCTTTGGAGACAAGACTCTAAGCTGGAGTTGTGGGGGGTAACACAGATGGGGAGGGGCCAGAGTGGGCGCAACAGTACTTGCAAAAGTTGTTGCATGGATGCGTCAGTTCGCGGTCTGGGCGCAAAAGATGCACGTGGATGCAGTCGCGTAGCCTTCCAAACGCAATCGCTTACGCCCCTTGCAATAGTACGTGCCCCCCAGCAATCCTTCGCGCAACTGTTCGCGCAATACTATTTCGCCTCCCGCCGCTCACCCACTGGTGTCGCCTCCGCCGCTCCAGTCTGAGGGGACCCCCCCACGAGGCCCAACAAGATAAACGACGTGAAACTAGTAATTTCACGTTGTGTTATCTTGTTGGACAGACCTCCTACCCTGACCTCCTACCCTACACGTCGATTACGAATTGGCCGTTTTCGGTTCGCGAGAGGGCGTCGCGGCCGTCATTCTTGCGGGTCCAGGTCCGTCGGTTTCGGTCCTAGACCGTTTTCACTTCAAGGTGGTTTACTAGAGGGTGGTTTGTCCACCGCCGATCCCTCATCCCTCTATGTCCTCTCAGTTACGTGGCCCGCAGTATGGCCATGGGGGCACCAGCGCCGCCTTTCCTGAGCCGTCGTCTTGCTCTGGCCGCTTGGAGGGGCCCCGCCCCAGCTCGGCCGAACCTCTCCAAAGTCCCTCCGAAGCCTCCTTTTCTCCCTCCTTGCGTTGGACAGCCGTTGGCTGGCGTGGGCCGTCGCGTCTTGACGGGCACGGTATGAGAAACAAGTTGTCTCAACGCAGCGCTCGATCCATTCCACGGCGATCGGAGGCCGCTCGCGGGGGAGGGAGGCGGCTGCGCTGGCGGCCTGGGCCGCCCAGTCTGAGGCCGCCGGGGCCAGGCCTCCAAGTCCACGCCGCGCCGCCGAGGCCAGGCCGCCTCGCCCGCTGATGGCGCCGCGAAGAAGAAAGGCGCCGCGGCAATCAGAGGCAGGAGCAAAACAAAAAAACACACACAAAACAAAAAAACAGAGGCAGGAGCATTTCTCCGCACCTGCGTCCACGGGCGCCTCACGGACCAGAACCAGCCGGCCGACGCTGGGCAGTCCACGGAGGCGCTGCGAGGTGTCAGCGAGGTTGCTGGGCTGACGGCCTCCACGTGAGCCACTGGTGGGTGTCACCGGACATGGGATTTGCCACGAGGTGTGGTCCGAGTAGCCTTAAGTCGGGCCTGTCCCTGTACAGGAGGAACCTTTGCAACTAGTCAAAAATATTATGAGGACGATGTTTTGTTTGACTACTTGTCATAATGTTGAATACTTTTTGTTTGACCTTTTGCTATTTGTCGTTCAAAATCCGCCTGTAGGAGGGCATGCCCGACCAAAGAGTAGCCCGAACAGCGACCGGTTAACATTTCTGCTGGCTGCGGTCCTTGCCGCCCCGCCCCAATGGGCGCGGTCCAGCGCTGCAGTAGGTCCGCGTGAACGCCAGCCCCACTGCGTTCTCCCTCGCCCTCGGAGAGATCTTAGCGCCATCCTTCTTGGGTTATGGTCCGGGACTTTGGCCTGGCGCCCACCACGCCTCGACCCGACATTTTTCGTCAGTGGCGAGGCGGCGAACTCCGCTCCAGCGAGAAGCTAGAACGGGGCACAATCTAGCGCATTGGCCGGCGGGCAAAGAGAGGGGGGGGACGGCCGAGAGGAAGACGGGACGCTCAGACGTCGAAAAGTTCGACGATGGGCAGCGCCACCACACCTCGACCCGGCATGCTATCCGCGTTCACGTCCCCAGGCGTCAGTGTCCCGAGCTTTCCCCAGCCGCCTGCCCCGCGCAGCGGAGCGGCACGCTATCAGTCTACAGGGCCGCCGCCGCGACACGCCAAGAGTTCCTGACCGTAGTTTTCAGTCGGGCCCGTCCCTCTGCAGGAGGAAAATTCCCAAATATGCAAAAAATAATGTGGGGAGGATTTGTTGGCTATTTTTGACTCTTTGTCCAAAATCCGCCTGTAGGGGGACAGGCCCGACCTGATCGCAGTTCGCCTTCCCCAGTCCAGAGGGTTCCAAAGGGGGTTTTGGGGGAGGGGGTTTTCCAGGAGGGGTCCCCCAGGGGCTTCGCACCCCATGTTTTTACAAGGTTCCGAGGCCCCTGGGGGGCTCTCTGGAAAACCCTCTCCCCAAAAACGCATTTTGGAACCCTCCGGACATTTTTTCTGGCGCAGGGGCGCTGTGTCCTGAGAAACGTTCCCACGGGGTGGCCCTTCTTGCACGAGTCCCATGCCCAGAGGCCTGGGTGGTCGGCCGTGCCGTGCCCGCCAGTGCTTCGATTTTGCGCACCCGTCCGCTGGGCACGGTTCGCCAACGGCGGATGCCAGTCAGGCAGCCCCCTGACTCTGGGGAGGAAAAGGTACCCATACCTCGACCCTTTCCTCGTTTTCCCCTCTGTGGGCCTCCTCGGAAGCCCTCGTCGCCACCGCTGGATTCGCCTCGAAATTCTGGTCAGAACGCACCCCGGGAGAGGTCCAGGGAGTAGCTGTGCCGGTACTTTTTGGTTTCCCCACTGACAGCCTGGACACGCGATACCCGACCCCCGTCCGCCCTCGATTCTCGATTCTCGATTCCATCGATCCTGCCCCCTTCGGCACACTCGAACGGAGCATCTCGAGGATCGATCATCGGGGATCGAGCATCGAGGATCGCAGAGGTTCGACGATCCCCTTCGATCCTCGATGCTCGATGCTCGATGTCTGCCCCCTCCCGCCCCCAGAGCCGCCTCTTCGAGCAGTTGGCGCTGCTGCAGGCCCTGCAGGGCTTCGCCGTCCCCGATGGCGAGGACAGGTCCACCAAGTGGAAGTCGTACGCCCTGGCAGGCCCGATGCTCACGATCGTTCGAGCCATCGCTAGAGTTCTCGAGGATCGAGGCTGGTTATATTTTTCGGGTTGGTTTGGCCTCTCGTGGGCTTCTTCGTCGCCACGTCAGGGCTCGCCTTGAAATCCTGGCCAGAACGCACCACACGAGAGGTCCGCGGATGGTTATAGATCCGTGGAGGGATGGGTACCGGTACTGCTACCCTTGCCCAGTTTTCCCTTTTCGTGGCCTCCTGGGAGGCCCTCGCAACCACGGCTGGACTCGCCTTGAAATTCCGTCCAGAACGCACCCCAGTTGAGAACCAGGCACCAGGTTTGAAGTCCTGCGCCCCAGACCCCCAGCGTTATGATGTTCCAGCCTACTTTAGCCATGGCTGCCAGAAAGAATGTCGAGCACCATAAAAGTACCGAAATTCGGGTTTTCACGTGTCGGGCCCGGGGAGACATTCGTCCGACACTGTTTCGACATTTTTCCGGGCGCTCGAAATTATTTCTGGGATGTGGTCCTTGAGCACGAGCAGCAAATGCAAGATGGAGTTTACCGTTGGACATTGCGTCACACTTTCCACACAGGTTTATTTTGCTTGGCTCGGGCCCTGGGACCCTCACGGACCGATTCAGCTCGGGAAAGGCAGGAGAACTATGGGGTCCAAGGCTTCGGCTGAGGGTTTTCTAGATGTTGGGTTTTTTGTGACGTCTGATCTCAGGGGAGCCAGCCCAACCCCAGCTCAACGGCGACATGGGGCGCTCCAGAGAGGGCCTCGCCTTCGAGGGATCGATCAGATGGCCCTTCTTCCTCGGCGAAGGGCGGCCGAAGGCGGTGCCAGCAGAGCGATCGAGTGCGCCTTCGCTGGCGGAAGCCGGCGGAAGCAAGAGTGGTGGGGTCGTGGCATGTCGCTGCGCCGCCTTCGCGACCTCGTCTCGCACAGGGCTTCCACGAGTCTGGCGTTGCGCCGCGCTGCTTGTCCGGTCGTGGTGAGCCCCCGCAGAGACTTCCAGAGATCAGAGGGAGCAGCGAGGACAAGCAAAAAGAAAGCCACTGATGCACCCCCGAGAGGTGGAAAGGTTGTGTTGGTTCAAGGTTTCTCCGGTCGGCCATCTCGTTTTTCGTGCATTCCGACTTGAAAGTTCTGGGGCCCGCTACCTGAAGCCGAAGGCAACAAAAACTGCCCCTGGTGGAGGGGTCGGGGGGCGGGAACCTCTGGGACCGCGGATTGAACGGAAATCACACGGTCGAATTTCTGGGCCCCAGTAAGGACACGGCAAGCTGGCTCTCTCAGCGTAGCCCCCTCTGAGGTGGATATGTTTTCTGCGGGGCCCGAAGGAGACTGCGCTTATCCCCACCGAGAGGGGGGGGACAGGTCGGCCAGCGGGGCGAAGACATCCCCGGTGCGGGTGGGGACGTTCTTGCTCGAGGAGCGTACGCCATTCCGCCGACCCCACGAGAGTGCAGGGTCCAGGTTGTTGGTCATGGTCAGGCTTATGTTTGAGACTCGCCAGGTTCATGTCTGAGGCGGAGTATGTAGTTTTCCTCGTGTCCGAGGGCGCGCTCATGATGTCGGTGGCGGGTACTTTGCGTAAGGTGTAAACTGGACGATTCGCCTTGAGCACGTGACTCACGTGCTTCGGTGTTGTGAGTATCCGCTCTGGCGCAGCTATCATCGTGTAAGTTTCGCAATGGGGGCCCTGAAGGGACGGAGCTCCTTGGAGGGGTGCGGTGTGCGGGGGGCTCCGGACGGAGGGGTGAGCGAGAGTTTTTCTGGCTAAGGTTTTAGGCATATTTGAGGGGTGGAGCTGGGGGCAGGGGGGGGGGCTGGCTGGGTGAAACGTTTAATGCGCTGTAAGGGGTGCGGGGAAACAGGAGGACACGTCGATTGAGCACAGGACAAGCAACGACAACCAAGCCATGCTGTCATGCAGTACATATAACGTGCAGAATTATGCACGCATCAACTACGGGCAACTGTGGCAGAAGGCCTCCCTGCAGATGGGCACCTTGAACTCAGCAGCGATAACCATCGATCCGATCTCCGATTTCCTGCCATAAGTTCGGCTTTACCCGTGGGCTAAGGCGGAAATGTAAGAACAGGGCTACATAACGTCTACCAAGTACAATTTGAAGGGGAGGAGGCGGTAAAGGAAGTCGACGACGACGACGAAGACGAGGATGACGATGACGACGACGAGGCCTTATGGAAGTCAATCGGGGTCTCTTACGGCTTTTTCGGCGGCTTCTTGGATACCTCGGGTGGAGCATTTTTGGATCCTTTTCAGCGCTCCATGGTGCCTTCTTGGGGCGCTTTGGGAGCCCCTCGGGGGCCCGTTGGGAGCATGTCTTGGGTCACCTTGTGGGGGAGGGCCCCTCGCGAGGCGCTCTTGGGGGGCCTTTCAGTCCGTCCTTGGGCCTTCGTGGGCCGTCTGGGGGCCCTCTTGGGCGCTGTCCGGGCTCTCGTCGCCTCTCGTGCAATCTTCGGCTGGCCTGGGAGGCCTCTCTCGGGCTGGCGACGCGTCCTGGCTCGCCAACAGGCCCACCAAAGAATTTCGAAGAGCCTGTTGTGGTCTGCGCGAAATGTGCTTAGAACATTTCCGACTGGGACTGTTTTGTTGTAACACATAGGGTTAAACGGTTTATGGTATAAGAACAGTGTGTTTGCTCTTTTTGGGTTCTAAGAACATGTCGTAGTAGGCCCATAGGAATGCCGGGACGGTCGGTCCTTGCTCAAGAACCGTTGAACATCAGGTCAGAGGCGGTTTTGAACACAGAATCAATACGGTTTGCCTTCTGATGCCCTCTTGGGGGTCGCCTTGGAGCCCTCAGCCTCGTTGGCTATCTTGACGCGATCTTGCCTCTCTGGAGGCTTCTCCAGCGTGCTGGAGTCGTGTTGGAGCCACCTCGGAAGGGAGATTGGGCATGTATAGGTGGGTGGCGACAGGGGGGGGGGACTTGTAGACTCCAAGGGCCTCGGAGATGTCTCAAGGAGTTCGTCGGGCCCCCCCCTCCCCTTCCACCGAGATTTGTTGCCCCAGAGGGGTTAGGGTGGGCGCTAATACACCCGTGGTCGAGAACAACTGGCCTAAGCTGGCACAGCTCCATTCAATTATGCATCATGTATTGATCGGGCTGGATCCTGGGTTTAGTGTCAACGCGGCTCAGTGGCCCCTCAGTCAGGCCTGGTAGCCCTCCCTCGTTCCCTCGAAAGCCCCCCAGGCGTTGCCTCCTACTCGGGGAGGAGTGGGAAGAGGAGGGGGGCAGCCAAACGTCTCACACTTGGTTGGGATGGCGGCGCGACCACACGCGGACGCGGCGAATGCCTTCACAGTGAAAGCGGCGAGGAGTGGCGCGAATTGGGGGGGAGAGGAGGAGCGGCGAGCACCTCAGACGCCGTGCTCGGCCCACGAGCGGCAAGTGCCGTCTCGCCCCCCTGCCAGCGCAGGCGTGCGCACATGCTCTCTTGGTCGCCGCGCTCGCCGTCGCCGTCGCCCCCGCCCCTTCGCCCCCTGCGGGTCGCATCCGTCCTGGCGGGGGTGCCCCCTCCCTCTCCAGCTCGTCCTCCTGCGGCTGCTGCTGCTCCCTCTCTGCCAACTGGGGGATGGAGGACAAGGAAGACAAGGAGGAGGAGGATGAGGAGGAATGGGGACGAGGAGGAGGGGCAGGAGGAGGAGGAGGAGGAGGAGGAGGAATGGGAAGCAAGAGGGGGAAGACCAGCCCCCCCCCCCTCCTGGTCCCTGCACGCCGCGGCCTCTCGTGGGCGAAAGACATATCCATATCTCCGCGGCCTCGTGGGCCCGGCCCCTGGGCCACGAGGCCGCGGACACGGAGCGTTCTTTTTTCGCGGACGTTCCGCGCGGAATGTGTCCGTGCACCTCCGTGCGCCTCCTCCTCCCTCCTCCTCCTCCTCCTCCTCTCCTCCTCCTCCTCCCTCCTCCTCCTCCTCCTCCTCCTCCCTCTTTGCTCCTCCCCTCCTCCTCCTCCTCCTCCTCCTCCTCCTCCTCTCCTCCTCCTCCCTCCTCCTCCTCTCCCTCCCTCCTCCTCCTCCCTCCTCCTCCTCCTCCTCCTCCTCCTCCTCCTCCTCCTCCTCCTCCTCCTCCTCCTCCTCCTCCTCCTCCCTCCTCCTTCTCCTCCTCTGTGCGCCTCCTCCTGCTCCTCCTCCTGCTCCTCCTCCTCCTCCTCCTCCTCGGCTCGGCTCGGCTCGGCGATATCAAGGCCTGTACATAAGTGGCCTATTCTCGGATTGGGAAAACGGGGGCAAGGAAAAAGAACGAGGAGGGCTCACTTCGGAGCCTATCCGTGCGTGCATCGCTGTCGTGACATCAGGGGTCCCATCCAACAAAGCAACACGGACCATGGCGAGCTCGGCAGTCAGTCCCAGGACAAGAACGGATCAAGAGGCCGCCAGAAGTTGCCCACCCCAACTCCATCGGCAATCTTCTCACCACATATCTCATGAGCACAACTCTGCCATGAACTCGCAAAGGCGGCAACAACTCTTGCATACAAGGAAGGGGGCAGGCAATAGCTCATGCATTCCTTCTTCCCCTCACCACTGCAGTGCAAGTGATCGCCCCTGCACCTCCCGCCTCCTTCCGAGGCTCCGATCTCCTGAGTCAAACCCTCAAGGTGGACTGCAGGGAGAAGAGAGAAGGGATCAAGAAAAGTATTGTCGCCAAAAGCACAGGCATGCAGCTCCATCACCCTGACATTGCAATGCGCGGCGACTTCAGACACCATGGGCACTTTGGCAAAGGAGAGTTGATGGCCCATCATCGTCGGACTCACGGTGATCCAAGGGACTCTGTGCAAGCAGGCGCCAACACTGAGAGCAAGGGCCCCCCTCAGGGCCGCGTTTTCCCAACCAACAACCTCTCTCGCTTTTGAATTCAGCCTCGGGGACCCCCGCACATCCCCCACAGACCTTACGTTCTTTTCGCGGGCAGACCCTACTCCTCAGCATACAGGCAGAAAAAAAAGGGGCCCCCGCGAGCTTGCCCTGCTGAAGCTTGT